TTCCGAAATAATCCACAATAAAACGGGGTATTACAGAGACGATGATGGACCCCGGCGCCCCCGCTTTCAACGGGCAGTGGTTCGCTTGACTCGGAGACGAGCGGCTGCGGCCATTTTTTAAGTATATGTATAGTATATCTATAGTATATGTACCGTATATATTCACGACAGTATGTTCAGCAATATATGTTGCATGTATAGGTAGGCAGTATATGTGATGTTTCTCGGACCTTCAGGTCATTACGGTGAAAAAGTGCGGTGGGAAAAGAGTTCACTTTTCACGTTGAATATGAAACCGCAGTAGATGATTCGGAAGGAAAGTTTTGACAGTATATATTGTGTATATAGATAGGCAGTATATTCGCAAGATCCATATTATCGACAGTATATGTTGTGTATATAAGCAGTATATTTTTAGTATATCTTTTTGTAGATAGAATCACATATATGTTTAGTTTATAAAACATGTTAATACAAGGTCTAGATTTCAAATGTTCATCACAATTGTCTATTGTGGTTATAGTTAGTATATTTTTAATATATATATTGCATTTTTTTGTACAAGACGGATACCGAAATGTTTTTTCGTATATGTTGTGGTTATAGTTAGTATATTTAGTATATATTGCCTTTTTTTGTACATAACATGTAATAATTCGGTTTTATACTTGGTTTATAATCTATAACAATTTATATAACATATAAGTATATATACAGAGTTTTCTGTTTTTTTTTTTTTTTATTCTTATCGAATATGCAACCACAATATAAATAACCTTATTAATTTTTAATTCGTATTAATAGATAATTTATAATAAAAATTAAAATTATTTTATTTTTGTATATACAATATAGATGTCAAATTAAACCTCGTCGAAAGATAATTAATTCGATATATAATATATAAAAAATTGATAACAACAAAAAAGTTATTAAGTTATGAAAATTGTTGGGTTTTTTTTTTTATTTTTTATTTTTTATGAATAGGAGTTACCTAAAGAAAGGGAACTGAATACGTTTTATCTGGTAACACTTTATCTCGCATTAACACAAATAATACACATTGATTTCGTAGAGTTGCAAATATTTTATCCTTAATTGTAGGTTTGTAATTATTTGTAAATCACGTAGGATGTGTGTAAATTTCCCACTTTAGTACATGTTATTTTACTTAATAGAGTATATAACTTCTTAAAGGAAAAAAAAGGCCCAACAGCAGCCCAATTAATTAGGCAAACCTACCCACTGGCTGCCCAATAAATTATGCATATCTTTATTAGCTACTCACATCCCACATCGGATCTACAAAGAAATAATGTCAGTTATTTATTAAGTTTGACAACCTCTCCAATTCAAAGCAACAACTGGACCGCTGGTCCGTGGCAACCGTTCCCGGTCCAACGGTTTTGGTGATTTTGTACCGGTTCAAGTGGGTGTAGGCCGGTTCTATGCTCCAGCAGTTTCATAGCTGAAATCAGACTGGTGTGGTGTCCGATTCCCGGTTGAACCGGTCGAACTAGCCGATCCGGTCCAATTTTCAGAACATTGTACTTAACAACCCATCGTCCTCATAAAATAATATTTTCAACCATTTTTAGTACTTACACGTAAAACAACAACATATAATTGGTCGTGACTAAAAAATTAAAAATCGATTTCATTATGAGAAGGTTAACTTGCGATAACGACAGTCTTTATACCTCTTGTTTATGGTCGGGGCATACGAAACCATAAGTTGGAACTGCTACCGCTGGAACTTAAATGGAACTCTAAGATCATATGGATTTACTTAGTCTGATAATTTACTGAAAAGGTCAACGTGCGAAGGCAGTCTCTAACTCTTGTTTATAGCGGGGAATACGAAACTGTTGATATGCGATTTTGTATCAACATGGGGTATTCAGATTATTGTGTTTATATGGATTTTTGTATGTAATTTTTGAATAGAATTGAATAATAATTCTTGAAGAACATGTCTTCATAAGCAGAAAACCTCGTCAGGAGAGAAAAGAGAGAGAGAGAGAGAGAGAGAGAGAGAGAGAGAGAGAGAGAGAGAGAGAGAGAGAAAGTAAAGAATAGCCCCTCAGACTTATCTGTCTGTCGTCCATCATTGGGGTATATATATATATATGTTTTTGGTGGACCCGTTATTATTACAAGCGGTGTTATTTGTGGGCCCTAAAATAAAACAATTGATATATTACATATCCACTTGTAATATTTTAATAGGCGAGGCCAAAATTGGGTATTAACAGTAGGCCCCTGACTTTAGGACATGTTCTGCCCACCGAATTGAAGAACTCGATTAGGAACGGATTTTCTAGCCCTACCAAGCTGAAGAACTTGGTGAAAATAAAGATTTTAGTCTATTGAGCTGAAGAGTTCGGTAAAGGCATGGGTATCAGCCTTACCAAGATGAATAACTTGGTGTAAGTACAGGCTTTATCATACTGAGCTGAAGAACTCAGTGTAATGATTTTTTCTTTCGCATATTTCTCAGCCGGGAAGGTCTTATTGACTTTGCCTAACCAGTGTGGGCCCAAACAGATGAAGGCGTTTGGTTTATTGTATTCTTTTGATTTGGACGTCAAGATGTATGTCCGATGCACATATGTAATGAATATATTTGTGACACGCGTATGAATGTATGAATGCATTACTGAGTATGTCGATGCGTAGTGCGCATGTGCAGTAAATGATTAATGTACGATAAATAAGGAAACCTCGATATTTTGTCGAGTCTGAATTCCTTTTCTGAGTGTGATGTCATATTCTGGAAAGTCGGTAGTATGGAGAACCGACAAGCAAGCTATTTTGAACTTGCAATAATCGACACTGTTCAGGTTGTGTCTGAGTTGAAAAAAGAAGGGTCACCGAACTTTGTCACGGTTCGATTACGGAACGGCCTCAACCGAACCAAGTGTGCTCGGCTGTCAATGAGACCTCGTCAAATCATGTTTGCTGAAGTGACGTGAACGAGCTTTAGCCCAACCAAACCATACGTGGGATTTATATGTATTACGAGGCGTCAGCTATAAAGGGGTCACCGAACTTCGTCACGGTTCGATTACGGAACGGCCTCAACCGAACCAAGTGTGCTCGGCTGTCAATGAGACCTCGTCAAATCATGTTCGCTGAAGTGACGTGGACGAGCTTTAGCCCAACCAAACTATACGTAGGATTTGGATGTATTACGAGGCGTCAGCAAAACCGAGTGTCAAAAAGTTTACATCAGTATGAAGTATTGATAAAACCGAGTGTCAAAAAAGTTTACATCGGCACCGAGCTGTTGCTCAGATTTTTTGTGATGATTCTGTTTTGCGGCCGGAGCAGAGGCTCGACGGTAGGACAATACGGAGCAGAGTCTCGACGTAGGAAAATATAGACTTCCGCTCAGCCAGAGTCGAAGC